TCTAGCATGACTTTGTGTGTCTTTACTCTAAGGTGATAGTAAAGACACCAGAAGTTGATGTCTTAATGTTGAGAAGCTTACAAGGCTCGTCTGCAAGTGGCTCCTCTCCTTTGTTTTCACGGTTTATGGACAAGCCTTCCGGTTCTTGATCAAACACATGCTCCACTAATTGGCTGAACTTATNACCAATTGCCCTAGCCCTCTGGCGTGTCAAAGGACCACTGNGAACTTGAGGAATGATCTCCACTCCATCCGGTTCAGCTGGTGCACTTGACTGGTTGATGTCCTCATCAATTATTCTATAATTATAGTCCTAACCAATCAAACCTAATGAAACTAACTTTTTCAAACAAAGTTTGATCCTTTTAAGTCAAATTAAAGATAATTATTCTTTCAACATAACATTAAGCTTAATTTGTTGACCAAAAAAACAACAATTAAGCTTAATTAAGAGTTGCGACGTTATATAAAAAGATTCACCAAAAAGTATATATAGATTTTAGTGAAAAGTAATCAAATTGGTTAGACACTTTTGTAAGTTTAAAAGTTATTTGAACTACTGTAGTTTATAGTTTTCAAAAATATATTAGAAATAATGATTAAATATTGATGCAATTTTTGGCTAATTATATCAGTTGAATACTTCATTCAGGTATATCATACTATGCATTGCTAACTCCTATATATAAAAATTCATCTATTGTTAGAATAATTTTTAATGATATTTAATCAATTCCCTTTTGTTAATTATATTTATTTACGAAAAAGGTACATATATATATATCCAACAAATAAAGAACAATGTGAGCATCTGAAATTGATTCTCTTGGAGACTTCAAAGCCCAATACCCTTGAGCTTTGAACTTATACACTCTCCAAGGCATAGAGAGTTGGTAAGCCATGTGCCACCATCTGGATTCATATAGATATAGCTGATTTCTGATTTTTTTCTTTAACTCATTTAAACACATGCTGGGTTTTTGACGTTGTGCATTTTTATATTTTTAATGAGTGAATTAGGTAAAAA